GGGAAACAAAGCAAGTTTGCACTCTCGCTACGCTCGATATCCAGAGTGCTTTCGATAGCATTCAGCCTGGCCGCCCTCGCGCTCATCTTCGCGAACAGGAATGGCCTTTACCATACGTGAATTGGGCTACTTCCTTTTCTTGTTGCAGGAAAGCTCGTCTTAGAGTGGACAATTTTGTTAGTGACTTCTTGGATATTCCACATGGCTTGCCCCAAGGATCCCCCGCCTCCCCTATCCTTTTCCTCCTCTTTCTCGAGCCTGTATTCACACTCGGGTTTCCTACTTATGGTTACGTAGACGACGTAGCGATCCTTTCGGTCGCAAAATCTCTGGTCGATACTTCTCATTTAACCGCCAATAGAGTTGGAAGTATCACCCGACGGTGCGATTAGAACGGACTCTCGTTGGCAGAAAATAAGACAGAAATACTGCATCTTCACAGATCCCGTTAAACCCCACCTCCTGTAACCATAAATGGTGTCTTAAAAACCACCAACTCTACTCTGAGGTGGCTAGGCATCATTCTCGATACCAAGCTCTCTTTCAAACAACATGTGCAGGAATGGAGCGCCAAAACGCAACGGATTAGCGCCCATATTCGACAGCTTGAAAATACCAACCGTTGGGTACTAACAAGTTTTCTGCGCACTGCAGCCCTAGCTGCAGCACTACCGGTCCTTTTGTACGTTGCTGAAGTATGGTGGCGTGGAGACACTTATATTCGGCGTGGCCGCTTGACTTCTACCCGATCCCAACACCTTGTATCCATGGTCTGTAGAGACCTGGTCAACTTGGCTAGAGCAATTCTACCAGTATAGAAAACCACTCCCACTGCAGCACTTCTCAGGGAAGTGAGGCTCAAACTGGCACACATTCCAATTGAAGAGACGCGCCTCACATCTGCAATTAGAACAGCCGCTGCTGACCACTTTCACCCTTTGGTCAAAAGATCTAATGACTCCCGGGCGCACACCCGTTTAACTGGAAAAGTACAGCTCATTCCCCCCTTTCCCCGTCCTCGGCTTGTACCGCCCTCGTATAGAGATCTTCCAATCCTCACTCGGGCCGGATTTCCCTCTGAAGAAGCCTCCCAGCGCATTAGAAACCTACCACCATGAGACATCCTCGTCTTCTCGGACGGCTCTAAACAAAAAGATGGATCTGCTGGGGCAGGTGCCGTCGTTCTCCATAGGGGAACTACCGTAGCGACAGTGAGAGTCCCGCAAGGCCCCGACTTTGAGGTCATGACTCCGAGATAATCGGTGCCCTCACAGGGCTTAATGCTGCTGTAGCAGCTCCCTCTACCCACCTGGCAACCAATATCCACGTAATTTTAGACAATCAAGAGGCAGCGCGACGCCTTCTCGATGCAACACCTTCTAAAACCTCACAGTAAGAAATTTTCGAATTGCGTAATCTAGCCTCCCAGTGGCCCTCGAGGAGTATTCTGCCCATCGCAGCCCCCGGTAAAGTCTATGTGATGTTGTCGCCTGGCCATGTAGGTATCTCAGGTAATGAATTAGCCGATAAGCTGGCTGGTGAGGCTGCCCGCCAACTAGCTCCCCCTACCGCATCTCTTGATGGAGCTCGCACAAAGATGAAAAAGCATATATGGGACCTGATATCCGCATGGTGGCAAAGTCACGCTCCTTCTACCTATGGTGAGTTAGGAATGCCATTCCCCAAAAAACCTCGCGAAGAGCTACGACTCCCTCGCCGCAATCTTGGGTACCTTATCCAATGCCGAGCTGGACGCGGTGATTTTCGCACTTATCACGATCGCTTCTGTCACGTAGACGCCTACTTGACTTGCTCTGCGGGGGTGATAAGTCAATCACCCACCTAGTTTTCTACCCCCTCATTCGAGAGATGCTAGCCTCTGCTGGTTACCCAAAAGCCTGGGGAAGCTGGATTTACTTCTTGGCTCTTCCCGCGGTGCAGAGCGTTTTTCTTCTATTTTGGAGAAGACAGAGTTCCTTTCGGAAATTTGCCCGATCCGTGCCAATTGACTCATATCCATGTGAGAGTCGTGCTATACAGCGCTCACAACACCTTAACAAATGCACTTTTCAGGGGCTTCAGGCTCCCAATTTAGTGTTATATAGTTTAGTACGTAGTTGTCACCATGTCCCCCAAGGGATGGGGCCTTAGCCGTAGCTGAAGCTCGGTAGACCTTTAAAGATAAATAAATAAATATTCTAAAATCCAACAATATCCTCTATATGATGACATTTTTCACGGCCCCGATTACATCGTCTTAACAGAAGCCATACTGTACACGGTAGGTTTGTACGGATCGATATCAAATTAGAAATATCAATAGGTTTCATGAAAAATGCGGCTGAATTCCATGGGCAAACACCGAACCGAATGGCTATTTATCACAATCAATATATCAATGATCTTTGAAGTAACAAAAGAGGCAAGGAGCGCTATACGAGGTCTGGTCTGGGTCTTTTATTTGCATCAGACTTTAATTGCGTACGCAGCTATCTAGCTATGACACAATATCAAAGAAAAGTACACAATAGATGATTCAATATACAATAAGAGCACTTATGCCTCGGATTTCACTTGCAGGTACCACTGCGAAGTTATGGCGGCTTTTTCTTCACCCCAAGTCAACCCTCATCCGTGAATATCCATCCAGGGGAACATCTCAAAAACCCTGAGTTATCCAGACATGCCTCTATCATCCATTTAATTTTTTCCACGCCAAATATTGTCTGAGATATCTCCTTCCCAAGTGGAGTAGGTGCCCAGGCTACTCAAACCATACGGGAGAACACCACCAGGAAGCAGACCACGGCGCCTTCCATCGTTGACTTGAGTTTATAGTGTCAGTTGCACTCTTGTAACCGAAGTATTAGCGCACAAAGCTCAACTCGTAAAACTCTTGCCAAATTCGGAATTTCAAGCCCATCGATGTTAAGTCCACCCTCTACATCATCTTATCAACTTGTCCTGATCCCTCTCACGTTCATCCCAAAGAGCTATCTTCCAGATTTGTGCGCCACGCTTTGCTCCCTCCGTCGGGTGTTTAAATCGTCGTGGGCATGTATTTGGCGACCGGCTGAGGCCAGAGAAGGTCGATGAGAGGTGTGGTCATTGGAATAAGGATGTACTTGGTCGTACTTGTAGACTTGATGAGGCTTAGGTAGGAATCAAACTCGTTGGGAGTGAAAATTTAACGTGATGGAGTAATTCGAATCGTTGCCTCGTAGGCCAAATTCTTTGGTATTGCGAAATTTGACTGAATCTCGACTCTGGGAGAATGTTTCACTCCCAGGTTCGTAGAGGACACCGCGTACGAATGTTCAGTCTTGCCCTCCGCCTGTAGACTTCGTTTAGTCTGGTATGAGTAGTTTGTTATTGTTCCAACGTTAACACGAAACTCCTAATGTTCGAGCATGCTAGTCTATGATTACGTAATGTGATTATTGTTTATCTTATCAACGCAGTTTCCCGTGACTTGGGCACAGGGCTATGAGAAGAAATACCTGGTGGAACGCTGGTCGGTGGGTCTAGAATCACGAAGAGTCATGGTGTTCCACATCAGAATTTATGGACAAGACTAATAATGATTCGAAAAATACGCAAGATTGTGGAATAAATTCTCTGGGGAGAAAAAGTGTAAACTAGAGTCTGGATATCTGCTACTTTGTGGTGGGCATGTCTTCCCTACTTGGGATACTACGGCGTAGACTGATGGTATTTATCTTCATTTTTTTTCATCAAATATAACCCCCCCTTCCCTCCCCAATAACGCAGGGAAATCCTCTGGTTTTCTCATGATTAGAAGTGTCGGTCGGTAATATACACGTTAACGCATACGTAATGGGTCTCTCAATGATGTGATGATTCTTGTTCTTCTTCTTAGATACAGGCGTGTCAGCCTTAAGGGTGGCACGCCAAGCTACATCAATCCACGTGACTAACCATCAACATATTGTGATCTCTCTCCTAACCCATGTACATCCCAAAATAGTAATGCGACAAGAAGGTTATATCAGCTTTCTGGATCCCACTCTTTCGTGTCTGAGAGGAACTAAATTTACGTTCGAATTGGCCAGGGTAGTCTTAGTCCCTGTGAATAAATATTTCTCTCTAAACATTGGGCTCTAAATGAAAGCAAATAACATGTTCTTCCCCCAAACTTCAATTTTATTAAATCCTCGTCCTGGGCAAAAGCTTGATATCTAGAATGTTGAATGGTGTTATTGATAGATATGAAGCTTTTCTTCTCAAGATGTTGTGAAACAACTTTTGATCGTCCATGACCATAGAAGTTGATTTCCGTCGCTAAATTGAGAGAGCTCCTAGCGGTGCTATCAGTTCGGTATTTGCACGAATGAGGATAGTCAGGTTTTTAGATTGTTATCTATGATCAAGTGAGAATCAACTAGGAAAATATGAGCATCTGCAGGGATACTGGTTACAAGCACCACCCAATTCAACTCTATCTATTTTTGACTGATTCACAGAGAATGCGACAGACGATACAAGACGGCCCTGACCAATCTGTGAATCCTTTTTCAACCTAAAATACAGTTTATTGTGGACCGTCAATTAAAATATGTCTTGCACTCCAACTATGCTAACTAAAATGTCTTTAGAGAGTGGATAATGAATGACCTATCGACGCAGTATTATTTTATTTCAGACTACCGAGATTAGATTACACCATGAGTCAATGCTCGCCATAGATAATGCTCATTTCGCTAGGGAAAGAACTGTACCAACCAAAATTTTGTATTCGAGTCTAGAACACAACCTACGCGGCGCGGACGAGAGGGCCTAACATATAAATATCGACATGATGTCATGAAGATGCGATTATGCACTTCGCGTTGGAAATGTTATCAGTCTTTTCCAGAGTTATCGCTCATTAACCATACAATCTCGAGTGCAGGCATCTCGGCAATCATCTGATTCTTGAATGAATTCTAGGAAAAGTCTTCAAGGTAAACATCAACTAGCAGCAAGTGGAGAGCTCTAAGATGAGCTGTGTGATTGCCATTCTTACGTCCATTACGGGCCGCATGGTAATTTTGGGCGCGGATTCCGTATCAACAAGCTACGATGTCTATGAAACCTCCTATCCGGCAAAATTTCCGCAGCTGAGCCCTGAATTCGACATATTTCACAACTATCCTACCATCACCACTCCAGGAACATATCACGCATCTTATTGTTCTTACGAAAAGAATTACGCTCTTATTATCGAGAAAATAACTGTGGGATTACCTAAAATAACGCGTTACCCCATGGTATCATCTAGCCGTGATGCTGAGGCTGAAACTAGCTGTCTAGATTATATCAAATCAAATTATCCATTAGATTTTATTCTACTCATGTCAGATATAAAGAAAAAATCTTGTTGTACGACCAGAGTGGTAGCCAGTCTTGCCTTCAAAAGATTCATCGGGGTAGATGGATTTTATGGCTGCTTCGCTCCACATATAGAAGATCAGTATTTTCGCGTCACAGCTGATGAACCCATACCTGTCGAAGATATTCTATCCGACGATCCTTTACTCCATGTACAACGAGTAAAAACGGGACAAGAGGCACTTACTTGGTACCAGGGCCATCTACATTTACTACGTAGCATAAAATCTAGAAAAATATGGTGGTATCCAGCTACCAAGATCGGTGCCGAGAATGAAAATGTGCGCATGATCATGGACTTTATGAGGCGTCACTTTTCCCAAATCAGAGATTTCGAAACAAGATTTATTGATGCTCCAAGTAAAGGCCCAAAAATGAAATCAGCCAGCTCTCATGAGTCTTCTGATCTAGATCAAGAGCCAAGGTCCTCAACAAATGTTCAAAAATTGAATGAAAATATGTTGGTCGCATCACCTGCTGATGGCTGGTTTTGTTACAAGGCGCAATATGAACCCGTGAATACTTTCGGAATGTATTAGGTAGATTCTAGACGATTAATACTGTAGGTAACTATCAGTCTACCACGAGTGGGCGCTAATTCACATCAGACCCAGTCTATCTTAAGGTCAAGAAAAGTATTTACCAAGGCAATTGAGCAGATCCATCTATTTGGAGGGGCGTTTAATCATGGCAGGAATTCAGGCAAATTGATGCGGTCGATTCTGGACATTGGTGTTGTGTAAAAGTCGAATTCAAATACTTCATCGGACTTGAACACATAGCTACACGTATCATAGGTCTCACATTGAGTAAACGACATCACCTGACCATGAAATTTTATTCATCTATTCGAAATTCCCAGCGATGATATGTGATATAACTTTCCCAGCCACTATCATGCGACTTACCTTGTTGTTACAAGGTAAAAAAGGGCCCGATCATCTTCTTTCCATGCAGAATATTAAAAAAGAAAATCGAAAGCCCTCCCCTCTTCCGTGGACAAGTATCCTGAACATTCCGGGTGTCGTGCGAGGAGAGAAGACATCGACGTACCAGTGAGACAGGACGCAGTTCCATTATGGTACATATTTTAGCCTCACACAAGCTAACTAGCTGATATCTAGAAAGTGTGCAGATTTTGTTCAAATCTAGCTGCTACGTAAGCGTGCTAGTGGCCCGTGCATTAATCCAATTACACTCCACCCGCAAGCTCGCACCTCTTGCGCCAAAGTTTCATCACGGAACCTTGAGCTCACGATCCCTGGCGGGCGACGAAAAGTCAACACTTGTCATCGTAGTCCCCTTCGGATATCTCGACGGGAATGTGCCTGGTTCTGGGTATGGTTATGACCAACGTGACGAAGGGGGATATGGCCCGTCTTGAGAAGATTAACAGGCTAAGCAAAATACTTTGATAGATCGGGCTTGTCAGGGTAAGGGTCATGGGATAGATTGACGAGGTCTAATCTGGTGATTGAGATTTTCTACAAAGGGGGAAGGTGACTCTTATTGAGTCTTATGAATATATTTATAATATTTAACGTCGTGCCCGCGCACAGCACGTGAGCTCTTATAAATTTATATACATCGCGAATCGCGCATCAGACGCGTGATTGCACGTGATCATACGATACCGCAATCCATTCCATCCCTTGACAGGGCTAATGTAAATAGATGTGATTAACGCAGATTAGATGAAGGCATTGCGAATTAGTCGAAAGTGTCATCTATTAAATTTGAGCCGAGCGTAGAATATATATAGCACATGTAAATCCAAATACAACATGGAATACTGTGCTGGTCTATTGCCATATGGCCATAGCTTGGCTGACATGGCCATCAAATGACCCAGCTTAGCTAGTTCATCTTTGCATTTAGTTTGGGGAAGGAATTAATCTCTTGCCATCACCACGGCTGAACTCCTTGTAACTACAGAATCGTCGTCAAAGATTAAATTTTGACACCTCCGGCTCTCGCCATAGAGTCGGTAGAGCGGAGGTTGAGCCACACCTCTCCAACTCTGAACTGATTCATCTCTGCCAGCCTCAAAGATGCTCTTCCTATTAATATCCATGACATCCACAACGACAATAATGAAGCTGGATAAGCGGTGATATGTCGCCGTACCAAACGCTTGAATGGTAGCTAAAGGAGCCCTCGTCATATAACAGCACACGCTACCGATCAGCCGGCAAACCAGCAGCCAGAGAAAACGATGTAAAGGACCGTCGCACCTTTGAGAAGAGCAGAATCTGAAACTTCGACAAGATTGTCTTTTTTCCACCCCACCCAGCCCTACCATTTCCTCCAGCTCGTGTCATCTAAGCGAGCCGCGTCATCTAATATTACCACAGAGCACATGGATCTCATGCATGGCAATGGGGCCCGTCGGAGGACGAATGCCGAGAACCTATCAGTGGTATCCGCTTCGAACCTGGGAGTGAAATATTCCCCCAGACCCAAGATTCAGCCACCCCCCCCCCCCCCCCCCCCCCCCTCAAATGGTCGAATCAATGTCTTCCTGCCAGAGAGTCTTGTCGCAAGGAGTAATTCCGGGCTGCTTTTGGTCGGAACTCCCGGATTGCGGAGATTTCTCGACTGTATGAATCACGACGATAATCATCAAGATCGTTCAAGCCGATTATCGCACTTCCCCTCAATACGCCAAACAAGTTTGAAGTCCCTATTTGATGGCGAAGAAACAGCCATAGCCACAGCCCGACCCCGACCCTTTCTTCCAACACTGTTGTCGACGGAGAATTATCGGGGGACACCAAACTTGGCTTACTGAGAATGAATGTTCTATGACGAAATCAAAGTCTGCGAGAGAAGATGGGAGAAATGCTGCGCTGCGGAACAGAACAGAACAGAATTTTTATTTATATCCCTACCGAGTCTATGACTATGAAGGACAGCTATAACTATCTAAATAGCTTTAAAGTTAATAGTAAATTTGTATGTGGTTGTGTTCAATTTTTGCCAATAGATGATGAGGGTCGTGCCCTATTTTGCGCTGCGGAAGCTTTGGGGGTGGTTAGAATAAAGGATCCCAGATTGCAAGGGTATCAACTAGAAGGTTGGCAGAGGCAGTAAACCCTTCGAAATTCTTCAAAATTTAAGAGGTGCTGAGCAGTAGCTGGGCCTCACTTTAAATTTGCTGGGCTCTCTTGGGGCGCCGGTACATCGGGTAGTCTGTACAGCCTGAGCTAATCAGCAGTTGGCCCTGTAGTCTAGTGTTGTGCGTCGGAACGAGGTTAACAAATTTAATAATGGTGCCCGCTGCCGGCATATTTAGTGTTAATGTTATGCGTCTCTCCGTAAATCATTTTTACGAATTTAATAGTGAGGAGGACGTTAAAATTTTATGGGCTCCGTAACAACCCCACGTCTGTGACGACTCTTGGATGCTATTCTAGGCTTCTTCACGGCAGTCACTCTCGACCAAGACTTATGTGGCATCCTCTCGCGACCTATGGTTTGTCCTGCAGCACGAATCATGGGGGAGTAAGTGGGAAATAGGAGGGAAAAAACACTCTTAGCTACACACAGGTCCACAGCGGCTGGCTGGCCAAGCTGTTCGTATGTTTCAGTAGGCCAGTTATGTTCATAGACTGAATCCCCATGTTGGAAGTTGGAGAGTCTCGTAGCCACGTGTGTTTGAGGTCTTTCCCTGCAGCCACCCATGCACAAAGTTTCTACGCTTAACTGGCTGGAGATAACCTACAACGACGGGACAACTATTGCTCCAAGTGTGCGCCCAAATGAGTGCCTGTGGGGGCATTCCCGCTGAATCGTAGACGCAAAGAAGGGTTTGGAGGCGGCACTGTGCTCGGGGCGAAGATACTTCCGGCCATTGACTAAGTAGAACCTACATGTTCTGATACTATCAAAGTCTCCATAGGAAAAGAATGAATAAATACATGCATTACAAAGAGAGCCTACCAAGCCTTTCACTCTCCTCGCTTCAGTTCGTGGTGGCCGAGTCAGAATGTTGGAAAGGGGGTTTACCTTTTGCTTTGTAAAGCGAAATTCGGGGGAGAGTTTAATTCTCTGGGCTGCTTGGTTCGACTTGATTCTGTACACAGATACGTTTCGCCATGGTTGCGGAAGTTTAGATGGGACGAGTCACAATGTGAACCTTAAACGTGGCTAACCTGATCCGATCCGATCCCGATCGAACCTAAGCTCCAATACTAGTGCGATGGATTTTTAGTAGATTTGTATAACTATTTTCCATTCTGAGTCTTGGAACGTGTAGGGCACACAGGCCCAAATAACCACATGCCAAGGATACCTGTGCAGGTAGTATATCCCATCTTATGCCTTCTATACAGCTCCTCTCAGACGGTACTACCCCTCACAATTTCCCATTTGATGATACAGTTAGTGGAACCTCTTGTCCTTCATCATCTCCCCTCTCCAGTCAACGAGGCAATGGCCATCTGTGGATGTATGACAGCCAGGAAATATTGCCAAAAATCACTTGGTGTGGAGCTCTTCTAATACCGACAGCAGGACTAAATCCGCAGACATAGCCACCCATCTGAAGCGTTAGAGGAGACCGATCAGCTGGGCGCTACAGACTTGTGGGTAATGAGGCTATAATTTCTCTGCCTTCTTTCAACCCTTTCCCGAAGGCTGTGTTGAATTGTCAGACAAGTCTTGACAGAGCATGTTTGCCGTATATTTGCTTATTCCAACTTCATTATGCCATCCAGGGCGCTGGGTAGTGCCGTAGACTCATCGACAAGAGAAGTCCTCCTAGCTTAGCAGCCGAAACCTCGGTCTTGGCGCCAAAAAACTTTCCAATATCGAAAACCCTTCGTAGATTTCAGTCCCAGTATGCCCATTAGTGAACCCTTGTCTCTCTCGTTCCATGCCTCAGCTTTCTAACCTCCCTCAATTTGTATAGGCCCATTAGATCAATAGTCCCCCATGAGCCAAAACTCAAGCTTTGTATCTCACGACTTATTCTTTCCTTACGGGTATACGTAGCGTCGTAATATGTCATGGGAGATTGCAGATTGCAGATTGGGCAAGCGCCTGTTTGCATTTATCGTTGCGCCTTGTTCGGCCGTTCAGGCAAGCTAGTTTGTGGTAAGGCCCAGTCGGATTAATGGCACGAGGAAAGTCGGGCCAACATTGATGAGAAGTCGTGGATGAAGACTTCCTATTGCTTTCAACATCGATTCGGATGTTATTCTTCTTAGCGCTCCCAGACATGTAGAGCATACTAAGCCATTGCGCCAGTGCTGCTGGGAGGTGGATAATTCATCTGTGCCGGCGGTGGGAAGCATTACTCGAACAGATACCATACTGCACTTAGTCCAGTGTTAATGTCTTGGGAGCCACAGTAGTTTGTAACAGCCTCGTTAAGGCCATCCCTGTCGCTACTAGCGTTATGTGGCATATGTCGACCGAGTCGGTTCTGGCAAAACCGAATCAGACTCACACTTTAAGGCCATAAGAACAGGGCTCGTCGGTGCCCAGGACAGCTCAATGAATGACTCCAGGGGTTGCGCCGGCAGAAACAAGCTCAAGCTGGCTGTGTTGTCGAGCACTTCCCTAACTCCAGGCCTGCAGCTGAGAACGGCAGGTTAGATATAAACACAGAATTAGCATGCGAGACCGCCGTCCCAAACAGCCTGCAGGAAGCCCTGAAATAAGGGGAGGCGCGCAATGATCAGATGGTAAACTCATGACAGATGAAATCAAACTTGATGACAAACAGGGTCAGTAAAAA